CCATCTTCCCAGAGGCGCCTCCGTTCTGAGTCCTGAGGCCACACGTGGGGGTGAGTGGGGGGTGGGGGGACAGCACTCGCTGGCCTGGCTGGCACTCCTCAGCTGCCCTGCAGGGCCCGAGCAAGCTTGGGCAGCCCTGAGGGGAGCCCCGGCTAAGAAGCAGAGAGCTGTGGTGGCCTGCAGGGAAGCTCTACATGCAGCTGCGGGAGAACTTGGGGACCGAGGGGTGCTGAGCAGGAGGCATCGATAGCACGTGCTGCGGGCCCAGACCCAGGAAGGGTGGGAAGCCCAGGGACCACTCCAGGGCCTGCGGACTGACAGGGCGGGAGTCCAGCAAGGGGGGTGGACATCCTGCCCGAGGCCACCCTGGGGCAGGGGTTCTGACTCCTGGGTGGTGCCATCAGTCCCAACACTCCAAAGCAGATCAGAGCTGAGCACTCCTGTCCACTGAGAGCTGACCATCTGCAGGGGTCACAGGGTCACAGAGGGCACTCCGGCATCAGGCCCCTTAATTCTGACAGCCATGAACTGGCAGGGGCTGACAGGGCTTTAGATGACAGATGGAAACAACCCATTTCCTATAGGTGAAAACAGGCTTAAACATATTGAGTGACTTACCCAAGGTCGCACATGCCTTCTGTCCAGCCCTGCCTGACCCCCAAGCGCATGCATTCGTCGAGGCTGCCGCACCATTCCTAAGCAATGGTTTGCCCAACTCGGCCAGCCCCTGGGTCTCCCGTCCTCCCTGCACACAGGGCCCTGGCCTGGGCGTCTCCTCAGATGCTGGGAGGTGGACCCCATGGGCTGGGGAAGGGCCGGGCAAAAGCGCCCCCTCCTTCCAGCTCTGGGACCTTCCCCGCTAGGCTGAACCTGCAAGTCTTCCTGACATCCACACTGGACTGTGCTCGTCTGCACAGGTGGCCCCCCTATTCCCCAGGCATGGCAGCTGAGTCCCCAGGGGATGCTTCCAGGGCTGGCATGGCTCTTCTCAGGCTGCCCTCCCTGCTGCATTGGCCTTTGCCATCCAGAAGCTGAGCCACGCTCACCTCATGCTCTGGAGGTGGCAGGTGGGTTGGGTGCAGGGCTGGTCCCTGGACAGCTAACCGTGGAGTATGGGGAAGCCCAGGCTGGGTGGTCAGAGGGGGAAGCTGAGGCCAGGTTCAGAGATTGGCTCAAAACCACACAGGAGGCAGCAAAAGCAGGGTTAGAGGCTGGGTCTCTGCCCTCAAGTCAGTTCTTGCCAGGACAGAGGTGGGTCCACCGAGGGCTGTCACCTTCTTATAGTCGGGAAGGGAGCTGAAATGTCTGACACTGCTGGCACCCAACTCCATGACCCAGGCTGCAGATACCACCCATGCTCAGAGCTCTGGAGGACACCCCACGCCCCAGCTGCACTGGCCTCTGCCAGGGACACATTCCCAACAGCTGCTGCTGGTTGCCGTGAGCTGGGAAGCTGCCTCTGACCCTGGGCAAGTGGGGGCCCCAGAGACAGCCTTCCCTGCAGTTTTGTGCCCACACCCTGTCTGACTCTAGTCGTGAGTCTTCCTTTTAAGAATGTTCTTCAAAAGACACATCGAGAATCAAGCCAGGCTGATTATGCCCAGCACCTCAAAGACACAAGTTTTACATTTTA